GTCTTTGTCACGACTGCAAGTGGCCATTCATTTCTATTGGTTTGATTGTCCTTAAGCAACACTAGGTCACCTTCCTTGACGTTAGGTCTGACATCCTGCCACTTGCTGCGCGTCTGTAGCGTGGGAAGGTACTCGCATCACCATCTGTTCCAGAAGACGTTGGCAAGATGTTGAACTTGTCTCCATTGTTGGCGATGGAGGTCTTTCTTGTCAAAGGCTCCTGGAGGAGCAGGGAGATGGTACATCTTCTGCGTCAGCAACGATGCAGGGGTTGCAGGAAAGGAGACTCTGGATCAGAGGATATTGGTGCGAGGGGTCTGGCATTGATGATTGCAGTTACCTCAGCCATCAAGGTTGACAATACCTCATGCGTGAGGCGTGACTGGTGATTTTCCTGTAGCATGGAGTCAAGGATCCGTCTGGAGACTCCGATCATGCGTTCCCACGCTCCTCCCATGTGAGAGGAGTGTGGAGGGTTAAAGATCCACGTGCATCCTTGTTCCCCCAAGTACTTGTTGACGTTAGGTTCTTCGGGGTCTGTGGCCAACATGTGCAGTTCTTTGCTCGTGCCTTTAAAATTTGTCCCACAATCCGACCGAATCTGTTTCACTGGTCCTCGCATCGCCAAAAACCGTCGCAAGGCGTTGATGAAGGAGGATGTGTCCATCGCCTCAATGAGCTCAATGTGCACAGCGCGTGTGCTCATGCAGGTGAAGAGGACCGCCCATCGTTTGCTATTTGCCTGGCCACCGCGGGTACGTCGCGTGGTGACAGCCCAGGGCCCGAACACATCAAGTCCCACGTAAGTAAAGGGTGGTTCCGAGCTCAAACGGTCGGCAGGGAGATCTGCCATCTTCTGAACACGTATCTTCCCGCGAAGCTTATTACAGGTCACGCATTTGTGGAGGATGTTGTTGATGCACCGTTTGGCTCCCACGATCCAGTATCCCGCTGCTCGGATGGATCCCTCGGTGAAGACTCGGCCCTGGTGCTTGACCTTCTCGTGGTAGTGTCTCACAAGGAGCGTCGCGACGTGACTGCGAGTTGGAACGATGATTGGAAACTGTTCGTTTGTGTCGAGAGCTGCGTGCTTGAGTCTTCCTCCTATCCGTAGAAGACCGTCCTCATCCACGTAGGGGTCCAGTTTTCGTAGGGAAGTGTTCTCAGTCAAACTCTTTCTTGTAGGTCTCCCTTTCAACACAGCGAATGATCAGAGTCTTAGTCTCTGACAGTTCTTCGACCGAGCAAGGTCCAGGACTTTTGGCCTTGCAGTTGGGTATGATTGCAGCCTTTCTCCTCTTCACAAGGTTGGACAAGGATGCTATAGCTCTCACAAGGGACTTCCATGACGAGAACCGTTCAAAGCGATAAGATCCCAGCTGTGTAGGAGAGTTTGTGATAGCTGTCGCGTGGGAACGAACCTCGCTGTCGGCGTTTGGGTCAACCAGTTCGTAGGATTCTTCTTCGTGATTGGGAATTCCATCCGGCATAGATAGAAAGGTGGGTCCTGTGAGCCATGTTGTGTGCTT